ATATAAGATTGTTAAAGCTTTGCTAGTTATATAATTAATGCTTACCCGAATTAAGTTATCGGAATTATCAAGTCGAAATTAAGTAAGGCATGTGATTACAACTAGATTAATGGGACAATATCAAATTGACAACATAGAATCAGATAGTAATGTTATGGAGAGAAACAATAATCCACAATTAACAAATAGAACTTCTCACCTTGGGTCTCTCACTCACTCTCTTGTTGGTGACACTTTAATGGAGGGAGATTGAGATCAACCGAGCGATGCCACTAGGAGACAAATGGCGCACAAAGTATAGTCTATTGGAGTGGTAGCTGGTGGCGGGTAGTCCATGGGATGAATAGGGAGCATCCAACGTCTTATCCTTTCTTCCTTGATCATCAAAGACGAAGCTGTGGTTGATGTCGGGATCGGCCTTCCATGGATGTGGAGAACTCTCTTCTTGAGCCCTTGAGGGGGGGAAAGGTGGCGATTTAATGAGGGGAGGGGCTTGGTCGTGAGCAAGGGGAAGAGGAAAAAAATTAGAAAACTGAATTAAATTCAGCTTCAAGGGGTTTTGGAGGGAGATTAATTTGAAATTTCAAATTAATCCATTAATGGCTAGAGGTGTTAATTGAGGAGATAATTATGGGTTGATTTGGTGGGGCTTTGAATTTAAATTGGGAGAGAGAAAAGCCTATTAAGGGGCCGGCCACATGTAGAGGAGAGAGGGGTTTGAGTATTAATTACATGGGGACCACAAAGAATTAAACAAACATAATAAAAAATATGAATTTAATTTCAGAATTGATTATCATAAGTAACTCCCAATCCAAATGAAAATAAGAGGGAATTTGAATTTCAAATATGTGTAACTCTTAATTAATTTCCCAAATTAATATGACTTAATTAGGGAAGTCATTAAGAGAGGGGAATTCAAAATTCAAATGGGGGAGCTAGAGGGGGCCGGCGGCATGGGGGTCCAAGGGGTGGCCGGCGGGCTGTTGGCCGGCAAAACTAAATTATTACAAGAGAAGGGCCATGTAAATAGGCCTCACAATGACAAAGAAAAACAAAAGACTAAAATGCCCCTTGGGCTACAATAGAAACTAACCACCCATAAGGGCAAAAACGGAAAAACATAAAAATCAAATAAACTACTACATTAAATGACTCAAAATAAACTCATGATCGTAGCCGTCGATCTCCGGCGTCTCCTGATGGTACACGTGTCGAAAATGCTGACGATGTCCTCATCAATATAATTTTAATTTTTGTATCCTAAAAAATGAAAAATATTAATGAAAAGAGAGAAAAATGGATTATATTCCTAAGAAGTAAAAACATGAAACTTGTGAGAATTTACAGATGAAAAAATAAGGGAACTCTCTCATCCATAATATTTGGGGATATAGTCATTCAAAAAAGAGTATCTTTCTCTCTTTCACTTATGCTTTAATCTCCTTTCCAAAATCCTTCTCACACAAACATTTGATATACCTAAGCATGACATTGATTGGATAGGTGGTAGTTGGGAATAATATAAGTAGTTGATGGCAGTTAAAGTGGTGGTTTGGAGTTGAAATAATTACTTGTCAAAATCAATAACCAATGGCAACGTCATGCTCTCTTTTATTGATGAAAGGTGGCCTTAGAGAAGAAACATGGCCTTAAAGTTTGATATTTTAGCCAAGCACCTCCTCCATTATAGTTAACTGATGCTTTGGGATTATGTTTGCTCTAGCTAAGATTTCACCAAACACTGAGAACAATTTGATGTAGCTCAAAAACTTAAATAAAAAGGTAAAAAACGAAGAGGGATTCTATTACAAAAAAGGAATAGTAACATAAGATAAGCGGGATTCACTTATCTATAATTTAGAGAGCACTCAAACAAAATGAGAGGAATATATTACTCTTTTACTCTTACCTTAAACTCTTTTACTTTTACTCTTACCTTATACTCTTTACCCCACGTAGTGGGATAAAGGCTTGATGTTGTTGTTGTTGTTGTTGTATAAACCTTTTCAAAATCCGAACATGAAGAAGTAGGTATGTTGAGTATGAGTTGAGAATAAATGGAGTGGTAGGATATGAGGGTAAATAGTTGATGAGAGTTGGATGGAAACTTCATTTTTATGGTAAGGCAATTAATAAAAAAAAATAGGGAAAGTTTGGAAAGATTTTTATATGCTCTTTATTAATAGTGAAAAAGCATATAATTGATTACCGAGAGAATTGATTGGTTGGGATAAATAAGTGAGATGAAAGTTTAGAAGTAAAAGGTATTACAAATATGTATCATGAAATAGTAATGAATATTATTAGTTGGGGAATCACTTAAGGTTTCTAATCATTGAAAGATTGCACCAAGGATCAACGTTGTGTTTTATATTTCTTTCTATTAGTTCCAAATATATTTACAAAGGAGATTTGAAGTCATATAACTTCGTATATTTTATTAATAGATGACAAAGTGTTGATTGCTGAAACATCCTTTTAGTTTTGAAGAAGCAGGAGAGAGATTACTTTTTACTCCAAAAGATATTCTATTAATAGATGACAAAGGTTTCGTTTGGGATGGCTTTTTTACTGCTTGAAGCAGCTTTTATTTTTTGTACTAGAAAGCTGTTTTTAGAAGCAGGAAAAAAGTTGTAAACAATGTTGCTTATAGACTTTTTCATTTAGGCTTCATTTGGGACGGCTTTCTTACTGCTTCTTAAAGTAATTTTTTTGTAAAAAAAAAGTTATTTTAAGAAGCAGTAAGAAAGCCGTACCAAACGAACCCTTAATTAATCACTCTGCATAAATTTTTGTGGCATTTCTTCTGCATATTGTTTTCTGAACAAGCACACCATTCAGCAGTTGCTATAACTGAGAGTCTCTTGAGAAGATCATGAATGTGAGCTATTCTATGATACAGGTTCCTGGATTATTGAAGATCAGACACATAGGTCAAACAACTCTAGGAAGTGCAGCAGTTTTTGGGCTCTTCTTGGGGGCTGGGAGCTTAATACACTGTGGAAAGTCCTATTGATTGCCTGTTCCAGTTTTGGCTGTTACCTTCCTTTCAGTTATAGCTTGAGCTTATGAGTTTGTATTGCACTGTTTATTATTATTATTATTTTTTAAATTTGCAACTCCGAGAACATGTAGAAATCTTCTCTTCTTGATTTTTCAAATTATTCTTAGAATTTAAGGATAATATAGTTTTTCAAAGCAATAAATAATCTAAAGCCCAAAGGCACTTCTTATATGAGCCATGGAGGGCAAAATTTTCAAATAGATACTATAAACGGCTCAATTTTGTGCTAGAAGCGTGATGGTAAAGAAGTTTAATTAGGAGCAAAAATATTATGAAACTGGCTGTTTTTGCTCTGCACGTACAGGGCTCATTGCCTAGGAAAATTATTACATCCGGTGAAAATACCGAGCATACGGAGTGTACCAAGCGCGGTACCGAGTGCTGTACCAAGCACTTCAGTGACGTGGAGTTTTATTATTGGTCTCTAGATGCATTCGGTGTCCGGATAGAATAATTACTCCATTGACTAAGGTTTTGTTTGTGATCAATTTTTTTGCTGTTTTAAAAAAATTGTATTAGAAAAATATTGTAGAATATATAGTAAGAAAATTATCAAAAAAAAAAAAAATCTAAGGCTTTATTTGGGATGTTTTTTTTATAGTTTTTTAAAATAATTTTTTATTAGAAATCCGCTTTATAAGAAAATGGTTTCAAATGAAGCATTGGGATGATTTTTTAATATAAATTTTTATTTTTTAACTAAAAAGTCATTTTAAGAAATAGTAGCTGTACGTGATGATTGCAGGGTAAGACCGTAAGAGTGCAAACATAAATTAGCTTCAATTTTTGTATAGTTAGTTTAATTACAAATTGGGGTGATTATATTATAGTGGAGTTTAAAATTGTAAATCAAAATTAGAGTTTTGAATTATATATTGATAACATAGTTTAGGGGTTGTTAATCAACACAAGAGAATAGGGTAATTAGAGTACATTACACTTTTAGGGTTAGCAAGTTTAATTAATTTGGCAAGACAATTTTAAAATATAATTCAGAGTTTAGGATTATAAGAATATATGATACTATTCTACTATAATGATAGCAATTTAGTATACTTTATCTAAGTCTTTTTTTTTTTTTTGTAAAACTTTATAATGTAAATCTATTTAATTGAATATGTACTTGTTATTAAAAATATATATATACAAAATTTGTGCCATTTTACTCTCTTATTTTATGACAATTAAATTATAATTTTATGCCATTCAAAAGACAATTTTGAAAAGTTGGTAAAACGAAAAAAGAATTATGTAGGCTTTTAAGTGATCATTATATGCGGAGTCTAAACACAGAACTGTTCAATTTTGTGATTGTAAATAATAAAAGTGCAATAAAAATGAAGTAATGAACATTAAAAACACAATGATAAAAAATAACTGTGATTTTATTGTTCACAGTCACAAAATAAGGACTCCGGACTCTGCACTCTGCATGTAATAATCTCTCTTTAAATTGTAATCATGTTGCAATGTTACATTTGGTCTAAGTGGGATTGAAGTAACAAAAGTTTTGTTGAAGAAAGAAAATAATTGATAGATGTGATACAACACAAAATAATATGCTCAGTAATGATACACAGTGTTGTGAAAAACAATTTCATATTGAAAGCAATAAATTATGGTCATTGCAATACTTTTCGTATTTAATCATATACTAAATAAGCTGATAAATTTTTCCCAAACTCATCATCTTTGATGAAAAAACAGTAAAATTTAAACTAATTACCAAGCCAAATATGTAGGTTGAAGCTTTCTTAGATTAGTTGAATATACACACAACTACAGAATGCAGAGTCCCAAAATGAGTTATCAAGATCAATCTCAAATCCACAAGAAAATCTCTACTTTGATATTTTTACATTCAGAAACGCCGCTACTGTTACATTGTGTAAAGTAGTTCTGCGTTAACCATTTGAAATTCAATCGTTGAATGTTATTTTTAATATTATAGTATTCCTAGAAGCAAATCACAAAGAAGAAGTTGAAATCATCTGTTCCTACTTTCAGGGGTTCTTAAATATTTCTTGTGAGGAAATTTTCTAAGTTCGACTTCTGAAATTCTTGATACATTCTACAAGACAATCAAGTTCCGATAAGTTCTTTACAAGAACCACCAACTTAAGAAAAGATCATGAAAATAGAAATTGGGGAGATTTATCAAAATATTTTAACAGTTTAAGATTCAAACCAGAGCCTCAGGCTTCTACGCTTTCCATGGGACTTTCTCTTCTTGCTAGAAACTGCAGCATTCTCTACATCTTCTCCGTCAGGACGTGGCATCAGCACCAACTCGCCCTCCTTAGGATCAGATGTGCCAATTTCCGGCAAAATCTGCTCATGGCCTTCCTCAGACTCTTCAACAGGTACCAAGGGGAGCCCATGATCATGCTCAGGCTGCTCTGGAGATAACAATGGAGGTATTTCCGTCGATTTCTTCTGAACGAGCTCTGTTTGCTCACGAGGCATAAATGGTTGTGCTTCTCCTTGCTGCGGTTGCTCCTGGGCAGGCTCAAAAAACTCAGGAGCCAAAAAAGGTGGCACTTTTGCCTGCTCAGGTATAAAAAATGGAGGCCTTTCTCCCAGCGACGATTGATCCTTGCCGAACTCGGTTTGCTCTGAAGCCGCAAATGGATGTGCTTCTTCTTGCATCGATTGGCCCTGGGCATGCTCAACAAGCTCAGGAGCTAAGAAAGGAGGCATTTTTCCCTGCTCTGGAGTCAACAATGACAATTTTTCTCCCAGCAATGATTGATCATGGCTGACCTCCGTCTTCTCTGGAGCCAAAATTGGCTGCTCCTCTCCTTGCAGCGGTTGCCCCTCAACATGTTCATAATGCTCAGGACCCAATAAAAGCGTCATAGTTCCCGGCTCAAGAATCAACAATGGCGACTCTTCTTCCAGAAATTGTCCTTTGCCAACCTCAGACTGCTCAGGAGCCACAAATGGGTGCCCTTGTTCCAGCTGCGCATGTTCGAGTTCAATATGCTCAGGATCCACCAAAACGCTACATTCAGAACCTCTATTCTTGAAATCGTCTAACAATGCCAGATTTCCCGACTGGCAATTCGTCTCCTCAGTATCGCTGACCTGGGAGCTATCCCGTTTCCTCTTGGAACCCCTTGATCTAGGAATTCGAAGACCCGGCCTCAGAGTTGATGTTCGACCTATGGAATCACCTCGCTGGAGCCGGAATCTTCCCCGCCCTCGCCGCGGCGGCGATGTTCCCTGCTTTACTTGGAGCGGCGCCATCTCCTCAGCGTGGATCTTGGGAGGTCTACCCCTGCGGCGGTGCAGCGATGATCTACCCCGGTGGCGAGGTAGAGAGGATGGGCGAGGACAAACGCTAGGGTTAGGGTTTGCTGGGTAGAGACGAGGACGGCCTCGGCGGCGGACAGGTATGGAGACGGAGGGAGGAGACTGTAAGGGCAGCTGGTATCGATCCGGGAATGGAGACGTGAGTTCACCGTCGGCGACGAGCTTGCGAAGGTAGTAAGGGAGCAGGCGGTCGTGGCCCCATGGGAGGTCATTAAAGGTTGATTTGATGTAAGCGGAGATCGATGACTCGGTAGATCCATTCTCCTCAGCGATAGCTTGTAGCGCGACGCTCACCATCTAAATGATTTGTCGCAATAATGAGCCCTCATCAGCAGAAATCGAGAAGATTGAGAAAGAAATACAATAAGAGAGATAGAAAGAGATAGAAAGAGAAACCTCGGAGTAGGGTGGGTGGTCCGGTGTTCGGCGGTTAGGGCTTGGTAATGCGCCATCGTCGGCACCACCGCCGCCGCCGTCGCCAACGCAATTGCCGATGACTCTGGTGGAATAGCGCCGCATGTGCGTGAGCCGCCCTCTCCTCTCCCGTTTCCGCCGTTAGCGACGGAGCCGATTGGCGACACTTTTTAAATAAGGGAGATTTACGAACATACCATTTAATATTATTTTATTTATTTATTTAATATCTAAAATTTTAATATTGCATATATATCACCCATAATTCATTTTCATATAAAATAAGAATAATAGAAATGAAATATATGAATAATATGATTTAATATATA